CAGTAAATTATCTAATCATTGGATTCAATCTTTGGTGTCAATCATCATCAAGATCTGTCAAGGAAGTTAATCACTTGTTGGTCACAAATGTTGCTATATTAAGCCAAAGCATGACGTTCTGCTAACCTCTGTGTCCTCTCAAATTACCCTGATGCAGTTTCATCACTGGACTCATCTAAATGTTAAGAGCTCAAGACTGAAGACCTCATCCTGAGCGAACTCAACAGGCGTCTCACCTGAGATCAGAGGTTGCATTGGTTCAGAGCAAATGACTTCTACTGCCTGTCTCGTCATGTTAACACAGCACGTGTTTGATCATGTACAGCAGTGCTTCCCAACTGGTGGGTCGCAGCTTTGTTCTTATGGGGTCAGCAGAGAAAAATAGACTAGATGGAAATTATATAATTCAACTAACCATGTAATTATGCATAGTTAGGATAGCAAAAACTATGGAAGCTTACTTCTGCCATAAAATGTTAAATAAATAAATAAATAAATAGAATTGTGAGTTCTGACATTTTTTTCCTCACAATTCTGCATTTACATCTCACATTTCAGTTTTTTTTCTTGAATTTCTGAGATATAAACTCATCCCAGCAGGCACAGGACGTCAATATAATGTCAGGTTGATGTTGGACGTGACGTCGGACAGATGTTGCATTTTGGTTGAGAATAAAAATCGGGTTGACGTCATTATTTGATGCCAATTTAGCGTTGACTTAACGTTAGATTTTGGTTACATAACCTAAAAACTACAAATATCAACGTCAGCTGACATTGGTATAGGGCATCAAATTAACACTGACATTCGACGTTGAATTCACCTTGAATTTTGGTCACCCGACATCGCAACTGAAATTTGACCAAATATCAATGTCTTATGACATTGCGTGCCTTCTGGGATAGTTCTGAGAAGAAAAGTCTAAATTGTGAGATATAAATTCACAATTCTCAGAAATTAAAAAAATCAAACTTTGAGATTGTTGTGAGATATAAACTTGCAATCGTGAGAAGTCAGAATTTTGAAATAAAAACTTACAATTGTGAACTCAAAATGCTGTGAAAAAAATCTTAATTGTGAGATGTTAACTCAGAAAATAGTTGAAATTCTGAGAAGTCAGAATTGTGAGCTATAAGTTGCAATTCTGCGGGAAAAAAAATATCTTACAGGTTTTTTAACTGCTTACAAAATCTTTACTTGTCACACAATTTCTGAAACCTGACACTCAAACAGCAGAACCACACACCAAATCTGCAAAACCATACACTAATTCTAGGCCTTTGACTCAGTTTTTTATTTCATAAAACACTTTTTGCACTCAATTCTCTATGTAACAAAAAAATCTAACAGGAATTAATATTATGGCAAAGGTGTTTGCAAATGTTTGCTTTTGAGATGTGTTTGTGATATTCTGAATGCAGTGCTTCATTTTGCAAGAGATGTGAGGCATTTAGCATTTTGTGTGTGCAATTCTTGGATTTGAGTGTAACGTTTTGAAAAAAGAGAGGCAAAGTTTTGAAAATGTGTGTAAGCAGTTGAAAAAAAAACTCTAATTGTGAGATACAAACTCACAATTCTGATAAGAAAAAGTCAAAATTGCAAAATATAAACTTGCAGGTTTGAGCAAAAATAATAGTAAATGATCCATTTACAATGAAAATCATTGTGTTGTCAAGTACAGTGAAGAGATTTACAAAGATTCACAGAAAATCACTGAGATGACATTGATTGCCTGAAGCATGTGCATGCCATCCTGAAGTCATCGTAAAGAAGAATGAATGAGTGTGCATTGTATGCTAAAAGTCCAGAATCTGTGGATTTGAAGAGCGCTGTTGGAGCACTGTGTGATGACGATAATGACAGTCGTGTGTTTGATGATCAGGGTTTATACTGAACACAAGAACAGAGAGCCCAACAGCCTCTGCTGATGGAGGAAATGGACAGCAAATATGTGTATTGTCGAGCAGTCTCTGATTAGGCTCCTCAGTGGCAATGCACTAAATTTAGCCTGCGCCCGGAGGTATGCTAAACGCTTCCATCAAAGCACCCAGAGAGAAAGAGGAGAAATCACTCGCTTTTGCTGTAAAATGTGAACATAGTGTGTATAAAAGAGCTGTTTCGACCTCAACTGACTTTAAATTACATTTATTGGGTAACCTAATGAAGAAGTCAGGTTGATTGAGTGAATATTCATAAGTAATAGTTGCACATTTTCATAATGTTGTGTTATCTAACAAACAGTGTTGGGAGTTACTAGTTACATGTAATGGCATTACGCAATTTATTTACAAAATACGTGCAATTGTAATCTGTTACTGAGGGGGAAAATATTTTTAATTTAAATGTTTAATTAAATTACAGTTACTTATGAAAATGTTAATGATTACAAAGGGGGTTACATCTGATTAATTTCACACGCACACACACACACACACACACACACACACGTATATTAAATTACAGTTACTTATGAAAATGTTATTGATTACAAAGGGGGTTACATCTGAATAATTTCACACACACACACACGCGTGTGTGTGTGTGTGTGTATATATATATATTTAATGGATTACTTTCCCGAATTGCATTGACTGCTCTAAAATATGAGACATCAATGTTTCAATAATTTAGGACACAGAATAGGACTCATACATATTTGATAACTGTTTTATTTCCTATTTGGGTTTGTGTATATGCTTTATTTTTTTAAGATTAACTGTTTTTTTTTTCCCAAGGCATTGTTCGATGCCAATGTTTCCTGTCATAACTATATATGCAAAAATTTGATTTCAAAAACAGTATCATAGCTATGAAACTATTTCTTGTTATAATTTTAAATCTGTATTTAACCTCAGAACTCAAAGTAAAATGAGGTGCTAAAGTCTGGCAGTGGTGCTTGTGCTTTAAAATTAAATTATTGTAATCGTAATTAAAGCGATGAAGGATTTTGAAAGTGAGTAATCAGTGTTGAGTACTGCTGTAACAATAACCCTGCCCGCTTTAAATGTTTGAAAATGATTAACAGTTGAAAACATTCATTAGAAATTTAGAAAAATAATCAAAAAGTAATCAAATGTAATCAGTTACATTACTTTAATAAAGTAATTGAAATAGTAACGCTACTTATTACATTTTAAATAGAGAAACTTGTAATCTGTAACCTATTACATTTCCAAAGTAACCTTCCCAACACTGCTAACAAAGCATTTTTATAGCGATGTGGTTGAACAATAGCTTGTTTTTGTTATTGAATTTTTTTTGGGGGGGTCACATCTAATTACGGTTGTTTTGTTTTCTTCTGCATGTGTTATTTTAATTCAGTTATATCTAGTGAAATTTGTCTAAAACGGCTCTAAAAATGATCTAATTCAATATTCAGATTTAGTTTTTTTTTTAAATCCAGTCACAAGCATGAAGTTTACAATCCTGTTAAAGCGCACAACAGCGTGAAGCCTTGGGGGCCCTGTGGTTATGACTTGATATGTTGCAAGCGGCAGTTGGAGCCTGTCATGTAATGTCCATCACTAATCTAATATAAGGAAAATCTGTCTAAGAAATATTTAACATCTGCTTTCTTCCAGAAAAGTAGCTAACTTTACTGCTAATATTGGTTTTCCTTTCATTAATACTTCAGAATATTTTTTGCTTTAATATTTTTCTGTTTTCTGTTTTAAAGTTAACATTTAATGCGGATATGTAGAATTTGTCATCACTTCATTTGCACTAGATAAATAATCTCTTTACGTCGTAATACAGTCCCTCGCGTCATAATGCCCAGAGGGTGATGCAGTGAACTCTGCTGAATTATTTACTTGCTCTGGCAGTGATTCTAATAGCAGTGGAAAGGCGTTTCTTGTCATTTAATCCATTTTTTCCCATCAGCGTGAGCACATGTATTATACTCCTTGGACAGCCTAATTAAACAACTATACATACCTTTATAAGGGTTAGTGAAAGTGTTTTTTGTTTTTTTTTACTTTGTCTCATTTAATGTATCTACAGCAGCCATGTATAAATGTTTGTTTGTGTGTGTGTGTGACAAACAAACATTACAGACTACATCAGGTTTTCACATACAATAGACATACTTCATTATCCTTTTGTTGTAGCATCTCTCTTGGGCTGGCTGCAAATAAGGCATCAGAAACTAATAAACAATATAGGATTATAATCGCATCTCAATTCTCCCTGCAGTGACAAACACAGCTGTAGCGATGCTGGCAGAAATTAATCTACAATTTCCCAAGATATAACAAGCATTGTCCTTTTCCTAACACTCCATGGTACAGTGATTGTAGTATTATATAGCAACGCTTTGATAATTTAAGATATTCCCTAGATGCTGAATGATTACCATGTCGTTTTCTACTTACTCAAAGGTAAGGAGTGCAAGGTTTCAGGACAAAAACATGGCGTGGTATGCCATTTATTTCCAGTATGCGAAATATTTAGTGACTTTTGGGGGTGTGGAAATTTAAGGACAGTTCTCTCAGTAACCTGATTTTCATGAAGCAATCTCTCAGGTTCGTCTTGCGCAACCGAATGTGGCGCTCCCAGAATGCAAACGTCGAGTATCTAACTAGACTTTTTAAACAAAACTTTTTTGATATAGACTACTTGCGATACCTAAATATATCATAAAGTGATGTATTGCCTATATATTTTTCAGGAACCGTACGGAAAGCGCAGAGTAGCCTACTGTTACTATGGTTACCTCCTCAGGCGAACGCTTCTATTCGCGAGCGTGTACTGTATTTAGTGCGTTCCAACTAAAACTTGCAATCTAACTTTTGCGCTTACTGAAATGTTTTATATACTTTTAACACCCCCAAACACTTCCTGATTTTACTTCAAGCCATTGGAGAATGCTTCAACCTCTCCATAATGTCAAAACAGGGCAATGACTAGCTTTGGTACCTCGTAGTGAAGAAGGGGAACGAGTGTCTTGAACGAACGCGACTGAAGCAGCGTTCTGGTGCTGAGTGTGTGAGATTCTCACCTTTGGGTCGCGCCGGTTCCGTCTTGGGCAGCAGAAACGCGTCTCCGCAGGTGCCGTTGGGAATCTCCAGACTCCCGTTTAAGGTCCCGTTCAGAACAGAGCTGTTCTGAAGCTGAAGGCATGCCCAAATCCCAGATGTATCATTTAGCGTTTGCAAATCCATTTCGGACCTAACCACAACTATTTTATATTAGTGTTTCCTCGCAGTCATCCGTCAACAATGAGAGCGCAAAGAGCTGCTTAGAGAGCAGAAATTGAAAGAGGATAAATTTAGAATCAATAAAAAGGTAAGAAGGGAGAAATTAGATTAGCTCATGCTGAAATAAAGCGTTGTTGCTCAGCAGTGTGTTGAAGGCACAGTTGCTCTGTATGAGTATGTGATGAAGCGCGGAGCGCCACTGAGTCTCTTCTCACGCGTGGACTAAGCTGAGGTTTTTTTTGATGAGCTCTTAAACAGCAGGGGTGGGAGTTTGGGGGTGAGCCGGTGGGATTCAGGGATTTGAGCATCCTGGAGAGGAGGAGACATTGAAGGGAGTTTGTGGAGCCTCTTGTCTGGTTTTTTTTTTTTTTTTTTTTGTCCTTTTCCATTTTGAAAAGACATTAAGTGTATTTTTTATAAGATTTCAAACATTCTAACAGACATAATGTATTTTAGTATTAATATATTGCACGCCGTTTCGTCCTAAATTAATAAATATTAATATTAATTTATAATTTAAAATATAAGTCTTATTAATTTATTTGTCTAATTAATTTAAAATATTAATTTTTGTTATCGGTACCTATGACGCGCCTGAAACTTAAGGGGGATCGTGCTTTTTCGGTGGCAGCACCAAAGCTGTGGAACAATTTACCATTGTATATAAGATCAGCCTCCTCTTTTCAGGTTTTTAAATCTTCACTTAAGACTTATCTTTTTGAAACGGCTTATGGTCTGGAGTAAATGCTGTCAAATATTTTGATAATGTGTGATGTTATCTTTGTCATAATTTGTGATTTGTTTTATATGGTTAGTTGTTTTATGTATTTTGTTTTTTAATTTTGTACAGCACTTTGGTCGACACTGTCGTTATTAAATGTGCTATATAATTCAATAAAACTAAACTAAACTAAACTAATATTCATAGAACAGACCAGGTGTAGTTGTCACAAACTTCAGTGTGATTTTTCATGGTACGTTTAGTTTTGAACATACATTTCTATGTGGCACTTATCTAAAATTATTGACTAAAATAAAATAAAATAAAATAGATATTGGAAATATGTAAGTATTTTATTCATTTCTATTTTTAACTTTGCACATTAAAGAAATGTATTTATCCTGTGAGTCACAATGCATAGATCACATTTTACATTTTAAAGTTATACAGATATTACCGTTATTGAACATGAATATGGATGTCTAGATGAGTGTATACCAGAGTCTAAACTTCTGATATTGAAGAGGTTAATGATCATTTGATTCAGTAATATGATAGCACTTTGTATGATAGTAAAATTATCATCATTGCTTGTCTATGGCTTCATAGATTTTGATCTGTTTGGTCAGGTGTTTTCTTTGGCCATTTTATAGGCCTATAACTGATGAGCAGTTCAAGCACATGCTTCAGGTCTAAATAAAGTGCCTGAGTCTGTGCACATTTGCAAAGGCAATACAAACAAATTTGTGATTATACACACACTCATGGTCCAGACTGGTTTCCTCACTTGACTCTGTCACAGGATTTAGGATTTAGATTTAATGAGTTCGCTAATACTCAGATCATTTGAGTGGCCCACTGAAAACAGCAATTACGTTAAGAGGGCATGATTTACCAGAAGACTGACCCGCGAATCAGTGCCATGATCCCTGTTATTTGCACAAGCATCTGTTCTTTATTGGAATAGAGAGAGTAATAAACATTGTGGCACCTGCTTCCATTTTTTTTTTTTTTTGTAATCATCTTGTGATCATGAAGGGAATGGTATCAAACCTTAATGGATGTTTTTTTAGCCTGACTGAATTTAATCTGTAATTTTTAGAATTATATATACATTAACAAAAAGTAATAACATATTTTTAAATAAAATGTATACATTGATTTTTTTAATATATAGTTGTGCTCATAAATTTGCATATCCCTTGCAGAATATGCAAAATGTTAATAATTTTAATAAAATAAGAG